GGGAAGAGGCCGGGCTGGAGCGCCGAGCAGCCGCCGCTCCTCCTCCTGGCGGGCTGGCTGATGAGTCAGCTGACGCCGGCGCCCCAGCCCTCGCCTCGCGGCGCCGCGCTCCCCGCGTCCCCCAAAGTGGCTGCAAACCGGCCGCCCACTTTCGGGGTTTGGGGGCAGAGAAAGTGATGCGCGCCCGCTAGAGCCACCGAGCCGCGCCGCAGCCGCGTCACCTTCCCAACTTTCTCGGCCGCCCGCTCGCTCCCAGGACCCTGCCCTCCGGCTCCCGGAGCCGCTTGGGGTGCGTGCGCGGGCGAGGGGACCCCGCCGTCCGGGATGGCGTCCAATTTCAACGACATAGTGAAGCAGGGGTACGTGCGCATCCGGAGCCGGCGCCTCGGGGTAAGGACCGACCCTTCCTTCGCTCCGTCCGCCGTGGATCGTCTTTCCGCGCGGGCAGCATCCAGGCGGGTGGAGGGAGGCGCGGGCGGCGGGCGGGGGGTCGCGCCCCGCTTCTCCGCGAACTGCGCGGCGCCGCGGGCCCGGCCCGGCCGGGCTCCGTCTGCCGCGGGCTATCTTTATCTCGATGACTTGGCTTTCGGCGGCGGCCGCTGGAGCCCGTCTTCGAGAAATAAATATTTCTCGGTAGCCATGGGAGTCAGCGCTGAGAAACCCGCGAGGGGGTGCTGCGCCTGCCGGGGTGCCCTGGGCGCCCCTCTTTCCACTCGCAGCCAACTTAACTTTTCCGGGGGGCGGATCGGCTGGCTGGGAAAGAGGGGCCGGCGCTCTCGGGTGAACAGGGCGGTGACCTCGGGGGACAGGGGTCTGGAGGCAGCGGCTTCCGTGGACTCCCGGGGCTGGGCCGTGACCCACTTCTGCCTCAGGGGTGAGCCAGGATGCCAGGGCCACTTCGGGCAGGTACGGGCTCTGATTTCTCCCCCAGCTTTAGCTTGGATGGGCTGGTGACTGAAAGATTCTCTAGGGCGAAAGCGAATACCTGGCACACAGCAGGCGCTCCCTGCCTGGGGACTGAGCGCAAGGATGAATGGACCCCGGTGCTTGTAGGGGACAGATGTTGGCAGGGGCTGGGGAGAGGGGCTCCTTCTTAACGCCCCCACCCCTTTCTCTTCATTGGTGGGACTTCAGAGAGACCCCTCCTTGGGGCTGAGTGATGGTGAAGGGATTCTTGAAGATATTGGAACGATTTTTTTTTAATTTTATAGTAGCTCATTTCTCTTTGTGCTCATCATTGTTGTTTTGGTTTATTGTGTGTGTTGGGTGAAGGTGCGAGGTAGTAATGTTGGGGACTCTAACAAGGAAGTGGTCCAGCCTGGATTCCTCAACTGTGATGAATGTCTTTCTGTCTCTGCAAATACCCGGCATTAGCATCTTTCTCTTTTGTGATCTTTGGACTTAGGTGACAAATAATTTTACTGAACACTGAAAGGAAATTTCATAGTGAAAAGCAGGTGGTAAGCAGGGAAGAAAACCTGGTGATGGGGAATCTCTGTAATTATGAAAAACTCTTGCCTGGTTGGTTTTTGTCTTTTTCTTTCTTTTTTCTCCTGGCTGGTTACCATGTTTGGTCAATTATATCCCGGGTTATTGTGAATATATAAATGTATAATTAGAGAGAACTAGCCAATCCCTATCAGCTCTGCCTAAGTTTCTTTGATTTCTTTTCTGCCATGCAAATATTCTCATCAGCAGAAGCAACCCAGTGAGTGACTCTGATGCAAAACACAAGAAAAATAGGTACTTTATATTTTTGATCATCTGATGGACCAGCCAAGGCTTATGATTTTTAAGAAAGCATAAAAAAATGCCATTCTAATTTTAGGTTTATTTCACTCTGTCAATGGAAGAAACTGATAAGAGACATCACTTCAGTATTGAGGAGCATTCCAGTAGGAAGAGAGGAGGCATGCATTATTAATGCATAAAATGTGAATTATTCATGAGGGTCGGAGTTTATGCCAAATTGTGACACATGGTGATTTATTTGAAAGACTAGTTACCATAACTTTCTAGTTTATGGTAATTGAGATTACTTTACTATAGTGTTACAACTGACACAATGTATTCCTATGTGAATGCCAATGTTTATGGATAGATATTTGAAGCAGAAGGAAAGGAAATATAGTTTAGTTTGCTTTCCTTTTATGTTTTACAGCATTTTGGATGCCAACAAGAAGTATAGTTTCTCAAGATTTAGTCATTTCATCTGTGCTAACATTCAAATAGATTTGAGAATGTGTCTGGAGTGGCAGTTCCTGGTCAGGGAGAAAAAAGATCAAGCTTGTTATCAAAGATAGTTCAGGTTATTCATTGACATTGCTTTTCTTAAATCGCCAATTAAGTTTTTAAAAGGAGCCGAATGATATGATTTCTTTATGTAAATCGAGGAGGCTGATGACGTAGCTGTCAGAAAACCCACAAACTCAAGTTTTCTTGGAGCCTGCAAAAAATGCTTCAGGGAAGTGGCTGAGGACCTGGTGTCCAGACTGAGGAACGTTATTGGCACGCATCTGGGCTCTATATCACCCAGGACAGCTCACAGCAAGCCGCATCTGCATGTGAGGAAGACATCATGTCTGGCACAGAAAAAGGCTCTCAGTGAGTGCACATCGAAATGGGTACTGAACTCCAGAGTGAGACTTTGCCGTTCCTTTTTGGGAACCAATTTGACATGGTGGTTTTATTAATGGAATCCAGACAAGTGTCTGTGGCTTAGCACCATGTTTAGGAGGGTTTATAATTAAACAAGAAAACAGCATTTCATGGCAAGCAGCTGTTGTGCCAGGAATGCTTCCTCGGACTGATTCGAAGAGTGGTTGGGAGGTGCATCTGCTGTCTTACCCTGTTGGCACTTGATCCTGGTTTCAGCCTGTTCCATGAACACTGCTCAGTGATGTCGGGACTACCCAATAACTGTTACTCCTGGACTGTTTCAGAGAAAACCTTTGCAAATGCAATGGGACACAACATGGAACCTGACTGCATTATTTCTTTGGTGGAAGCATGGAGGAGTTAGATGGGTGGAAGGATGCAGGGGATTTATTATTTTCTTCTCTTGCTCTCTAGAAATGTCCAGAGGCTTAAATACTTATGCAGCTCTTAGATGCTCTCATAAAGTTTTGACAAATGAAATGTATTTGAGTGACTTTTCAATGGGATCATTTTTCATATATCTCCACTGTTAGTGGAGATCCCAAACAGTTTCAGTGACTAAGTAATCAGTTCCTGTAGACGCACCTTTTAAAATAAACATCAAAAAGCTTAAGAAATTAAACTCATTTAACTCAAAAATTTAATGTCTTTGTATCTTGGTTTCCAGCTTCATCTCCTTGGGTTCATGAAGGCCTCAAACTGTGCTTTGGCTGTGATATTTGTTGAGAAACATTATTCGTGTTTGGGGCATTTTGATGGCGGAGGGGAGCATTTGCTTACAGTTATTTAGCTACTACACAAAACACACTAAAAATGTACTATTAGATCAGTGGCAAATCATTTGCTTTGAACACCATGAACCTCACCACATGTGTGACCTACACACTGCCAGGTAACAGTCCTCACTTGATGTCTTCCTTTACAATGGAGAGAATTGCAACTCAGAAATTTCTAGTCAGTAATTGCTGTGTCGTGTCTGAAATGGAGACTCAGAGTTTAAACTCAGACTTATTCTCTATGTGTGAGTCCTCCCATACCTTTTAACTGACATCTCTATGCTCCATTTATGAAGGACCTCTACTGTCCTGATCACATGTCCAGCAGTGTCTCATGGTCTCATCCTTTTTGCTTTTATCTTAAGCTGATTCTCCTGGAGACTGCTTCTCAGCTAGGGACCCTGCCACTTTAGTTACCCAAGTAGAAATCCACCTACCCACCCACACACACACCAACCCACCCATCCATCATCCACCCACCCATCCATCATCCATCCACCCATCCATCCATCCATCATCCATCCATCCATCCATCCATCCATCCATCCATCCATCCATCCATCCAT